CCGCGGGGGGAGGCGGAGGCTCCGTGGAAATGTGTCGGTGACATTGAATGGGGAGCGCGAGCGCGAGCCAGGCGCGCGCACACCCGCGCACACCCGGCCCGGCTCGCTCCGAGATCCCCGGCCACGTAAGTAACTATTAATACCGCCTCGCCGGCGCCGCGCGAGCGCTGAGCTGCGGACTGGCCTCGGGCGCCGCCGGCCTCGCCGCGCACTGCAACGCGCCTTCCTCTCACCTCCGACGGGCGAAGGAGAAAGAGCGAGAGGGGGAGAAGAAACGCCGGTCGTCTCCAAAGCCGACGTCGCCGGGCAGTTGGGACTCGGGCTGGGAGACCCGGTGCGTGCAGATCATTCCCGGCTCGACCCAGTCCCCCCGCGGGAAGGGAACGCGGCTGGCGGGCCGGCCGGGGGCGCGCCCCTCCCTGCGCCCTGAGGAGCCTCGCGAGCGCCGGCCTGGGAAAGCCGAGACCGTGATCTGCCCTGGCCGCCGGCCGCACTTCTCGCGGCGATCGGAGGACGGTCTGGAGCGCGAGCCGGTGGCCGCAGCATGAGGCGGTGCTGACCTCCGCCCCAGGCCCGAGCCCGGGCTGTGTCGGGGTACCTGCGCCCGGCCCGCGCCGCCACTCTGCGCCCAGCTTTTGCAGTCTTTTGTTGGCAGCGCGGACCGCTCTAAGTTAAATGCGCTCTTGCAATTTTTTTGTCTGTTTGTTTAATTTGGGGAGCGCTTTAGCGAGCTTGGAAAAGCCTCAGACGCCATCTACAGTTAAAACGTAGGTAACTGCCGTCTCCGGCACCCCCCCTTCCACGCCCCCCACCCTTTCCACCAAAAAAGGGGGTGCAGCGCGGATTCCGTGTGCCGCGCGGCGCGAGCCGGTAGACCGTGCTTATTTCCTTTTTCTTTTTGTTTGGCTCTAACGGGCGAGCCCCGCCGCCGCCGTGCGCTCCCCGAACGCCGCACACACTCCGGCCCGGCTCGTCGCGCCGTCGGCAGTTGGCGAGCCTGCGTGGGGATCCGTTCCGCAGCTCCCCGCCTTCGCAATCCGGTCCCTCGACTCGATCCACGCTGGGAAGAGAGGGGGCCAGACAGAAAGTGTGGACCTCCCGCACCTCGCCGGCTGCCTCGGGGTAACAAAAGGCCCCAAGTTGCTGCAGCGCGAGGACCCCCGGGAGCCGGGCTCAGACGAGGTGCCCGGTGGCGCCCACTCGGGGGCTTCCGACTCGCTCTCCGCGTCGCCCCCCGCGCGCCCCCTCCCCGCTCGGTCCCTCGGAACACCGGTGGCACGGAAGCGCCGGCAGCGGTTCTCGCCAGCGACTCCTCTGTGCAGCGGGCTTCTTGTTTGGCGTGTGCGATCCCCACACTCATGAACATACACAGGTCCACCCCCATCACAATAGCGAGATATGGGCGATCGCGGAACAAAACCCAGGATTTCGAGGAGTTGTCGTCTCTGAGGTCCGCCGAGCCCAACCAGAGTTTCAGCCCGAACCTCGGCTCCCCGAGCCCGCCCGAGACTCCCAACCTGTCGCATTGCGTTTCCTGCATCGGGAAATACTTATTGTTGGAGCCTCTGGAGGGAGACCACGTTTTCCGCGCCGTGCATCTGCACAGCGGAGAGGAGCTGGTGTGCAAGGTAAAGGCAGCCGGGCTCGCG